ACGCGGCGGGGGGGCGGCCGCCCCCCCCCCCCAGGAGTGAAGGGGCAGGGCTGGCTCCCCCAGCCAGGGAAGCTGAGTCAGGTGGGGACAGAGGAAGGCTCTCTCCATCTGAGCAGGACATGCCCTGGAGCCGGGGGAAGCAAGCTGCTCGCTGCACGAAGGCACAGATGCCTGGCGGAGATCCTGGTGTTTGTTCTAGGCTAAAGCTGCGCGACTGCCAGTTACCAGGATGCCTCCTGTCGCTTCCAACCACCGTTTCTCTTCTCACTCGGAGGAGATTGCTGCACTGACCTGGGAGGTGGGATGGGCGAGGACAGAGCCCCAGAGGGAGACTAGACAGAACCCTGTGTCAGGAGGCTGGAAGCTGGGCAGTGGCCAGCCTGATCACAAGGAGGATGCTGGCCCTTGGGGTGATGGCCTTGGCTAAGGTAAAGGAGCGACCCCCCCCCCACTCCCCAGCACAGGACAGAGGCCTGTGCTTTAGACCCCAGAAGCTGGGTGACTCCAGTCCAAAACTTCTGAGAGCAAGGGTACAACCCCAACTGCTTGGGGCTCCCTGCGGAATCTTGGCTGGGGAAGCTAAGGTAATCAGGTAACACAGGAATGCAGGTCAGGTAGTACCTGGGGTGGTGCAGGCTGGAGGGAGGGCAACAGCGGGCCTGTTTCTACAGTGTGGGGCCTCCATCTGCCTGAACTCTGGCTGCTGAGCCCCGCACTAATGGGCCACAGCTGCACCAGTGTGGGAGCCCTAATGCAAAACAGCAGGTTCCCTTTCCCACACCAATTCAGGGCCTTGGAGAGTGCGCCTCCCTGGTGGCTTTTAGAAGTCTGCCAGACCCTAGTCCTGCACAACCCTGGGAGGCCCCATGTCTTGTAGAAGCCTCCACCTCCACCTCCAGTGAGAAGCAGTAGTCAAGAGCTGTTCATCACAGCTGCTCACAGAGGTCCTAGGGGTCCTGAGGAGCCTAGAGTGTCGTTCTAGAGTGTAGTCTACCCTGTAGCCTGCAGCTCAGGCCAGTGCAGAAAGGCCTGCTTGCCTGGTCACATGCATCCTCGGGGCTTATCAACGGGGAGACAAGGGTTCTCAGAAGCTGTCACTCTAAGGTGGGCAGCAGAGATGTCAAGGGCCAGGGCTCGGTGGACACAGGGACAGCCCTGGCCCTTTCCACTTTTTGCCTTGGTGTCCTCGAGGTCTGTCAGCCCAGGCTATAGAGTTGGGTGTTGCTGTGTGTGGGGTGTGCTGCTGAGGAAAACAGCACTAAGACAGGAAGAAGCAGCCTTGGCAAAAGGGAGGCCCAGGCCTCAGAGAGACATGCAGTCTGCCGTGGTCTGGGGGATTCCAGGTCCCTGAGGGACTGCAGCAACCAATAATTTGTCTTCAGCCAACACATTCTAACCTTTGCCAACTTTTTGAGATAGGATTTCTGTGTAACAGCTCCGGCCATCCTGGAACTCACCATTTTGTAGTTCAAGCCAGCCTTGAACTCATAAAGATCTGCCTGCCTCTGCCTCCCAAGTGCTGGAATTAAAGGAGTGTGCCACCTGGCCCCCGTGCCACCTTTTAAAGATTAAAATATATGGGTGTATGTCTATATGAGGGGGTCAGATCTTGGGAGTTACCATGTGGGTGCTGGGAATTGAACCTGGGTCCTCTGGAAGAGCAGCCAGTGCTCTTAACCACTGAGTCCCATCCAGCCCCCGATCCTAGCTCTTTTATACATCCCTCATAGGACCCTGGGGACAACTTATGTCCGCTTAATTCAGAAAGTGAGACCAAAGCCTCTGGGCAATGTCCCAGTACTGTCCAGCTCACCAAGCAAGCTCTTACCAGATCAGAATAAAGTTCTTTGAACTCTGTAAACACCACAAGAGACTTCCTCTAGTATCCTCCCCATTTCTTGAGCGTGTGAAACAGGGTCTCATGCAACCCAGGTTGGACTAGTGGACCCTCCTGTCTCCATCTTCCAAGTGCTGGGATTACATAAGGTTATGAGACCAAACCCAGCTAATTTTAAATTTTAAAATTGTACTCACAGAGACCTGCCTGCTCTGAATGCTGGGGTTAGAGGTGTGTACCACCACACCTGGCATTTTCTTTAAGTTTTAAAGGAAATCATCCAGATTTGACAATTTTCAATTTCCCAACTTGGAAAGACAACTATTTAGAACACTCAGTGGCTGCAAACAAGAAGTTAGGTTCCAAGGCTCGCTCGCTTGTCCTGCAGATCCTTACCTGTATGTTCAAAACGTCACTGTGGTCTCTCTCAGAGGTGGATGACGATGGGCACTCCATCAGGTAACTTGCTCCAGGGCTGAGGGACATGGCGGCTGGAGCTGCACCCACCAGAGAAGGTGCTGTTTCTGCCAGGCTTTCCCTGGCCCCAGTTCTGCACCACTGACCTGCTCCAACAGAAACTCACTATGGAGTCTGAGCAAGCAAAGACCAGTCGGCACAGACTCAACTTGGCATGTATTTTCATTTCTACAAGACCCTTTTCAAGTTGCAGGGAAATTTAATTGATATATACAAATTAAACATTGCTTAGTATGTACAAAAGTATTTTCTACATTTTTGACAATATCAACTATGCCATTTGCAGTAAACAGGATGTTACAAAACTGTCCAATAAAGCATTTTCTATTAAGCACGTTACACAACATAATTTAATTTTATTAAAAAAATAACTTCAAAATACAGAATGATCCTGGTTAGGAAGAAAATCCATTTCTGTCGTTCACTTGAGTATAAACAGCCAGGCAGACAATGCTGAGGACGAGAGCCTGTGCTGGGCAGGTTAAGCTCTGTCCATGGTGGCAGCAGGTAGCAGCCCTGTCTCTTCCTGTGCCAACCCCCAGAGCCCTGCCAGTACCTGCAACTCCTCTGGCCACGGGACTGCAGACAGGGACTGCTCTCTGATCTCGTTTGATCTAGTCACATGGACCCTTGAAACAGGAGGAAGGCAGACGTTTTGAAGAAAGACAAAGACTCAAAGGAACCCTGTTGAAGAGGGCAGGGGATGTGGGCAGCCGCCAAAGAGCCTGGCGGGTCCCCAGTTGACAGTCTACAAGAAAGTCACACCTTCCACACCTTCATGAGGAATGCACCCTTTCAGCACTTAGTCACAGTCTTGAGACCCTGAGCAGCGAAGTCAACCACACCATGTCTGGCCATGGACTACAAAATTGACACTCAATGATGCATGGGCACTGTTTTAGGCTGAGAAATTTGGGATAATTTGTTACACAGCTACAAAACAATACATTGCCCAACAGCGACCTTTCCTTACTAATTGCATTTGGCAGTCTGTTTGGGCTCTGAATGCATTCTTCTCACCAGCCAGTAGATTCAAACCTCTTGTTTGCAGGGAACTTTTGGGAACAAAAGCCCCACTATTAAACCACATGTTTACTCTTCGCCAACCAAGCACCGACTTCTGATGTTTCCAATGAACTTATATTTACTGGCATGTTGAACAATGGCTAGTCACCAAAACGCTATTTACATACCTCATAGGGTGACAGCATTATTTATTTTGGGGTGCTGGTCACTGAACCCAGAGCATCATTACATGCTATCCCTGAGCCCCACACCACATGGCCCTGAAGACCATTTTCATACATTCAGTGCCTCCCTCCATCAGGCCAGGGCTGGAAGCTCCTCCAGCTCGAGGCTTTTCTTCTGCTGACATAACCAGCAAGGCCTGGGATTGGATGGTATAGATTTCCACACCACATACAGAAATTCCTTCTGTGAACAGGATTAAACCGGCACTAAGGTGATTAAGTACACTTGGGGAAAGAATGCAAACTAAAGAGTAAAACAAAGAAAGAAACCCAAACTAGTTTTTACAGACTAGGCTATTTTTGGAGGAACCACGCAAAGCCACAAGAACATCTATCTGTGCAACAGCCTGTAATCCTTCTGCCAACTCTTGTCCTGGGTTTTCTCCGGTCAGGCAGGGCTTCGCAGAGCCAGTGGGGGTTTCAACGCAAACAGGGAAAAGGCTGGTTGTTGCCACAGTGTGAGTGAGAGTAAAGCTTTGCTTGCCAAAGTGTCTCTGGGATGTGGTAATTAAAGACTGTGGAGTTACTTCTGAAGTCCACTCTTCAGTTGGCTCTTCAAGCACACATGTGCAAAATAAGATGGTCCACCTTGCAGGCTCTGTTCCAACTGACCTCCACCACATATCTGTTTGGAAGAAGCCCCTACACCCAGTGAACCCAGCTCAGAAGAAGTAATTTTTGGTGCCAGTAAATTTAAAAAGAAGTCATGATTCTCTCTTCTGGCATCAGGACGTGTAGCACATGAAGTAAGGTGTAAGAGGAACCAAAGGCACCAAGCACCAAGGTAGGAGCTGGGACAGCAACACAACTACCATCTGAGTTTCCGGCACTCTCTGTGGAAAGGCAGACTTGGTGGCATGAGCCACCACCCTGCACACCTGACCAGTCAATACGGATGTGGATGGCCTGATTTGACAGCACACAAACAAGACTATAACCACCGGCATGGGGACATGTGGCTTGTGACAGCTCTCCACAACTGTTTGGCAGCACAGATGCTAAAACCTGAAAACACTGACAACCCTGAATTCTATGGACTATCTAAAATAACACTGCAAATTATACTTACATCAATTTCACCATTTCTTGATTCAAGAAAATGAAAATTCCATAGTTGTTTACTATAAAATGGGTCATAAAAATATTTCTAGTTGACATCTGTACTTTAAATTCTTCTGCACACATGTAAGTGACAAGAAATAGCCACTGCTGGACTTGAGCTCTAATACTGAAACAAAACAGACTGCCATCCAGTGTCTTAAGCTTTAAGTTAGCAGGTATTTACAATTAAGATACAATTTGTGTACAAAGCTGCCTCAGCTGTATCTGCTGCTCTCACTGGGGCTCCGGTGACGAGAGTAGCTTCTGTCACTTTCACTGTCCGAACCGTAGGATCTTCCGCTCCTGGATAACAGAAAACCACACACCACAAAAGACTTTAACTCCTACTCTTTGGGCTCTAACTATGGCAACACTATGGGCTTTTCAAGATATTTTAAATGGCAAATGGTGGCAAAATCAAGGTTAAGGTAACAAACCTCAAGATTGCAAGGTTTTATTTTTAAATTTACTTGAAATCCATTCATGAAAATGAGCAAACTCCTTCTCTACTGTATCCCAACGAGTGTCAACACTAGAGTAGACTGAAGCAGGGCAGGCCTAAAGGTGTGGGTTTGCCTGTGAACAAAACCATTAGGATCATGGCCAATGGTTTTGGTTATGGTCATCATTCAGTTCATTTGAAAGTGTTTTCTGAGAGCTAGTTAACATGTAGGCATGGTAGCCATCATCCCACCACAAATGAGCAGACAAGTATAAGGGCTCAAGGACAGCACAGGACAGTGGACAGGTAGGCTGGTGCAGTGAGCACCCCATTCAGGTAGGAATGCACCTCAGAGTTAGCAGATGTGGGGTGCCCGGGGCACTGGGCTGCAGTGGAGACCTACTGGGAAACAGGGGATGTTACATGATCACTTTAAGACACAAATAAAGGAAATGATGGATATGGCACTTGTATTTCTGGGCAGAAGGTTCTAGAACATTACAGGATGGAAGTCAGGGCTGGAGCTGGTAAGTGGACGGGTGATGGGAAATACTCGTCTGTGTATGTTTCTCTTATTGGTTAATGACTATAACACTGATTGGCTGATTGGTCAGACAGGAAGTGACATAGCTGGGCAGAAACTTGCCACTAGCTAACCATAGAGGTCTGTACAGATAGGAAGCAATGTAGCTGGATAGAATCGGGATATAAGCAGGGACAAACAGGAAATTGCTTTCTTCTCTGCGGAGACGCTTAGGAGTCACCATGTAGACTGCAAAGGTCCGGACCCTTCTCCAGTAAGATAAGACCACGTGAAATACTTAGATCAACAGAAATAGGTTAATAATTAAGACAGAGCTAGACAATAAGAAACCCTAGCCAATGGCCAACAGTTTCACAATATAAGCGTCTATGGGAGTAGGCTGGTGGGAAAGAATGCATGCAACAGAGGGGCTCATGTACATTGAGTGCCAAGGCTCCTGGATACCTGGAAGACAGCTGGCGTCCCCTGAAACAGTTCAAGCACGGGAGGGGCCATATGCACTGTCTGTAGAAGGTTTTGTGGGGTTGCAATGGATGAGGGAGGGTGATAGTAGCCACCAGGAAGGGACAATACAAAAGCTGTCATAAAGGCTTACATCTTATTAAATGAATGACACAATGTAAACCTCAGCCCTGCTGCTGAAACAAATAATGATGATTAATAAGATGACAAACTGGCCATCCTAGTGAATTAGCCTGACTTTCACAAGTAAGCCATGGTCTCGTCTCCTTATTCCGCCCCCTCCACAAGAAGTGTGTGCTCAAAGCTATGCGAGTATGTGAAAACCCATTTTAGTTTCAACTGTAAAATAATAACTAACAAGTATTACCTGGCAACTCTTAGTGCCAAGGCCACATTTAGTAGCTGGCCAATGAAATTCATGAGGAAAGAGAAGTGCTGCACTGATGGAGTGCTTGCACCAGGTGCTCAGTCATCTGTAGTGTTCTAAAGCGGGACCCACCTGGACCGCCTGTTGTAACTTCTACCTCGATGGTAACTGTCGCTCCTCTGGCTGCGGCTATGGCTGCGACTCCGGCTGTAGTAGCTATCGTAACTGTAGGATCTGCTTAAACAGAAACAAGACACACTAAAATTTTCTCATTCAAATAGGGGAAGCCTCCTCTTTAGGGGTGTCAGAGGGTGCTAGCTCACACGGGCACTCTATGGAGGTATGAAGACAGTTGCATAAGAAGTTCTAGACACATCCAGCAATTGCCCCCAGTTGGACTTACCATGTTAAAGAGAAAAATGTTAATTTCTTTTCTGCATTGAAAAATATCACAAAATTAACACTGAGTTAGTCTGTCTGAATCTGGGTCTTATTAGGCAATTATATTCAACAAGCACCTGCCATTACAATTGGACACTGTTGCACATGGGCCATAGATAGATCTCATTTTTAAAGTGTTATTTCAGACGATGAACATGTGTTTAAGTTATTTAATTAAAACATCCCACATTTGGGCTGGGAGGTAAGCTTAATGGCAGAAGACAAGCTGTGCATTGCACCTAGGCCCTGGGAAAAAGCCCTGGCACCTCAAGCGAGTCCTCCCACCCCCAGCACACTAGGGCCTCCCACTGCCACTTACCTGGAGCGACTGTGGGGGTCATAGGAGCTGCTCCTGGACCTGCTCCTGCTGGATGTCCTAGTATGAACCACAGGAGGGACTGTCACCTTGTGCATTAGGGCACAGGTCACATTAGCAATTTTTGCCCATCAAAGTGAAAATACAATGAAATCTTTTAACTATTTTGTTTTTATCATAAGTACATTGGATTTTCTTTTTAAAACCTTTGTGTTTCACAAGGTTAAACTTTATGTAGTTCCCTGGGGAGACGCTCAGCTGGGTAGGAAGGGAAAGGGGCCATTTACATGAGTATTCACAGCAGAAAATACCTCAAGGCTAAAAGGAGAAGCAGCTAGGAAATAAAAATGCATGCCCTGCCCTCTAGCATACACTTTCCTCTTGGTTTCCTCACCATAACCCTGTTTTAACCCTAAGGAAGTCAAGAGGGGCCTGTGCTTGTGACCCTCAGTAACATCTATGTATGGAAGAGGCAGGAGTGGCATCACCTCTCTTTCTCTTGTCTCACTCTGACAAAGGAACAGGCAGGAAGTGTTCCCCAGCTCTCAAAGAGCTGGGTGAGAATCAGATCAGCGTGGTATCTGACAAGGACAGATCTACAGCTGTCCTGCTCTATCCCAGAAGGGCTCCATGGCAAGTGACAGGCCACCACACCTCAGCTCACCTGTGGCTATGGAAACTTCCATAGGAACTGCTCCGGCTGCGGGTTCGGCCTCTGCTGTACCAACCTCTGCTCCGGCTTCTAGAGTAGCTTCTTGACCTGCAATGGAAATGAGCGAGAAAGCAAGCAATGTGTGCGTCCCCAGTTAGGATGAACAGGAGGGCAGGAGGGACGCAAAAAAAAAAAAAAAAAAAAAAAAAAAAAAGGCAAGGTCTCCTACAGTCACGCACTGCAAAGGAAGCAGCCCAGGAGCCACCATGGCTTAATCAGACAATGAAATTTAAGCCACAAGAGACTGCAATAGTATATTTGCGTGCTCATGACTATAACTAATTTGTTTCCTGTTACGTGACCCCCCCTCTTCTCTTAGTTGTCACTCTCATTCTTTGTACTCTTCAGTCTATCCTGATAACAAACGCTGGATGAAAACTTAAAGGTTTGAACATGATCACAAAACTTGACTGAGCTGTGCTTTATATAGCAACTGTGCCTCCATGGCACGCATCTCCCACATGTGTAAAAGGGGAGTTGATCAACAATCCCTAAGCCCTGCAGATTCTGCTGAAAGGGTTCTTTGCAAAGGCAAGAAAGCCAGCTACTTTATACCTTTAAAGAAAACTGTCACCAGTCCTGGCAAGAGAGCTTTCATTGTCCAAGTGATAAAACTTCTTCTCAAATGCCCATTCCTTACCTATAACTGTGGTCACATGGACTAATGCTGCTTATTCCCTTGTCAGATATTTGGAAACAGTGATCTATCTCTCTCTCTCTCTCTCTCTCTCTGTGCGTGCGTGCGTGCGTGCGTGCGTGCGTGCGTGCGTGCGTTTCTTACCGGTAAGAGGATGTGGAACTTCTGGATCGACTTCTTGACTGACTATAGGAGACAGACCTTGTTCTGTGTCGAGATTTGGTTTCAGATTTACTTCGAGATCTGTGTGGACTCCTGGACTGGCTATTACCATCCCGACTAGGTGTCTGCTCATCACTGGAACTCTCTTGATTCCGTGGCCTCCGGTTTAGGCGTGCTGTCTTTCTTACTTCATCAAAGAGAGACCCGGGCCGAACTTTATTTTTGCTTTTGATTTCTATTCTCAAGCCTTGTGGTTTCACGTCAGGCACAGGAGCCGATGGCTTCACATCTAGAGCACTGGATGTGGTTGCAGTGGGCACTGCCAGGTTTCCTACACCTTGCAATGGCTTCCACTTATCTGTGAGGTTCATATGGTTCTTCTCAGTTCCCTCCTTCTTTCCAGCAATTTCTACAGGACTGGCCAAGCTGGCAGAGCTGTCCTGTTTCCCACCTTCATTTGAGGTTTTACTCTCAGACACAATGCTTTCTTGTTTTCCTCCTGCTCTGGGCTGTGTCACATGCTCAACCTGCTCTGGAATAATGCTCACCTCTGGGCTGTCCAGCCTGTGGTTTTCTAATGGGGACACCCCCTCTCCTTTTGTAGGGGAACTCCTCTCAGGGGTGCAAATCTCCATGTTGTCATCTGTCTGAAGCACGTCCTCCCCTCCACCGGGGACATGCTCTTCAATGTGCTGGGCGCTAGCGGGAGAGCTGGTGGCATTTTCTTCCACTTTCAGAGGTGCAGGGCAAGAGCTGGGAGTGTGATCACCCTCTGCAAGTGGGTCGTGCTCTGCAGTTTCCTTCTTAGGGTTCCTGGGGCAGCTGCCTTCGTTACAGGTCTTCTCTACCTTTGGAATAGTGTCTTTCCCAGTCTCACGCTTCTCTTCCGGCTCCTGTGGGACTTGCTCTCTGCTCACCTCCTCCTCCTCCTCGTCTCCGAACTCCAGTGGAGGCTGCCAATGGAAGGCTTGCTTCCGCTTTGGAGCCTTGTGTTTTCTGACTTCTTTGTCTTTCAGTTTCTCCCTCACCTTTTTCGTGTGATCCCCTTTAAGACTACTATCCTTTGGACATTTTTGCTTCTGGGGCTCCATTCTAATGTTTCCCAAGTTGAGGCAGGAGCCCTCTGACTCAGAGGCCGAAGACTGTGGTCGCCTAGACTTCCAGGCACCATTACTGTCAGGCAGAGAAGTGTTTGATGAAGGCTTTGCTGGGAGTTTGAGGTGACTCTGACCAACTTCTGGCTCAGAGTCTGAAGAGGCTTCGCCCTCCTCCTTATCCGAACATCTCCGGGAATCACTCTTCCTGTTCTTAGTCACATCTTGCTCTGAGTTTGATTCCGAGTCCCACTTGCTCCCAGCACAGTGCTTCCCTCTGGACTGACTGCCATCTCTAGACTGATCAGAGAGACTCTCTTTCAAAGCTCTTTTTTCCCATTCAGGCTTGGACTTTCCTTCTTCTCTGTTTTTCCCCTGCTTATCATTCAACACTTCTATTTTCCCCGGTTTCCTCTCGGGGGCTGAGTGCACACCGTGAACATGTGACTGTTCACTGTCTGAAGAGTAATCTAAAGATGACCTACTTTCACTATACCTCCTATGACATGACTTCTCTCGGCCTTTAACATACTTGCTGTGAAGTATCTTTTTCGAGCTGCTGCAGTGTCTTTTATTTGTAGTGATACTTTTTTCCCCACTGGATCTAAATGTCCTTGTGGCTCGTCTTCCATCATCACTACTAACAGAGGTGTATGAAGATGACCTACTGCGCTGGGAAACATCACTGTACTTATTTTGTGAGCGCGACCTAGATGACAGAGACCTAGACTGTGATCGTGAAGTAGGAGGACTTCGTGACCTTGACCTTGTATATGACCTAGAGGATGACCTGCTCCTGGAAGACCTGTCCCCTGACCGCCCTGAGCCTCTTGAACTCCTATCACTGTACTTTGAATAAGCACTCCCGTCGCTTTCTGAATTTTTTCCCCTTTTGTGATAGGATGATGAACTTCTAGTCTCTTTAATATTTGTTAAACTGTATGTGCTTTGGACAGGCAGCAAATGGGTTGTTTTAGCCTTCATCTCCTGAATTCGCTCATAAGAGGGCTTCCAGGGCTTCTGTCCAGGCTTCCACCGAGAGGGGGGAGGGCTGTCACTCAAAGGGATCACAGGGATGTTCTCTGCTGCCACTGGCTGTACTAGCACACTTCCATTCTGTGGCATCGATGCTCTTAAAGGTTCTGTCTTAACTGGCTTATTGTCACTCAAATGAGGAGGCTTTTTTGGTGATTTTGATGCTGTCCTTCGGCGCCCTGATCTGGAACTAGATCTGGACTTTGACAGAGCCCTTGATCTCGAGCTCCCTCTAGAATCAGATCGTGAATGAGACTTGGATCTGTAGGAGTTTCTGCTAGAGTGGGTTGAAGAGCTCCGGTCACCCCTGTCTGATTTAGACCAGTCCCGCTTGGATGAGTGATGAGAGGAGGAGGAGGAGGAGGGGGAGGCACGGGATCTCCTTCCTCTATCGCAAGAGGACTTCCTTCGGTGGGTGGAAGGTCTTGAGGGTCCTAAATCAGATGGCACAACCAGTCTTCTCTTCTTCGTCTGTCTGTGTCTTCTACAGTGTTTCTGCTTTTTAGCTTTTTTCTTGTGCTTAAACTTCTTTTCCTTCCTGCGTTTCTTGTGGTGCCCGTCAGAATGTCTCGCTGTGCTGAGATCTGAATAGCACCCATTATAGGACCACGATCTGGATCTCTGGGACAGGCTTCTTTCATCCCATCGGCTTGAACAGGGGTCACTTAGCCTGTAAGTGGGATGGGGGATATATATGTATATAAATCATACACATAACGTGCAGGCAGTTATTTGCAAACACTTCTTACAACACACTTCTCCTAACCACTGAGCCATCTCTCCAGCCTGTTTCTCTTTTTTAAAATGTTCTTTTGAGGCGTCTCAGTGTACAGCCCCAGCAGGCCTGGGAGCACCAAGGTTTCAAGCAGACCAGGCTTGAAGACACGAGGATGCATGCACCTTCCTCTGCTCCCAACACAGGAAGGCAAACATCACTGTGCCCAGTTTTCTTTTCTTTCAGAGTCTTTATTAGCTACGTAAGTCCCATCAACACAGAAATGTCCTTAGTGGGAACCTATTTCAACACTGAAATAACAACTACATTCTCTCCACTTCACAGTGGTGATTAACACTTTCTCCTAAGCTCCTATTAACTTAAAATACAAATCAGACACAACTACATGGAAACTGACAAAAGCTTTATGATCTTAACAGGTAAAGACAAGGCTCACCAGTGAGAGTCCTCAGCACCACCATGCCCATGCTATTGCTACACAGCAGCTGCCAGCCTTTTCCTTGTTCTTTCAATGCAAAATCAGTCTCTTAAGATGCCGTCAGAGAAACCACAATTGACCCTTGCAGAAATACTTTCCGACTAGCTCTTCTGAAGCCAGACCCCTTTGGAAACAAACAACTACTCTACTGCACTTTAGGGCACCACTGTTATCTAACAGTCCTTGGAGTCAGGAGATGCGGAGCAGGCTCTATTAACCAATCCATGCCCTGGCAGAGGTCTGACATCCACCAGACATGCCTAAGTCCTGATCCCTTCTACAATGAAGAGTCCATTCAAACCTCCAGCAAACTTGAGAAGAAGCACCTGACTAAAGACCCTCAGCCTCTGGGGGCAGCAGAGCTCCTTCCTCCTCCCCAGCTTTCCCTTTGGCTGTGGTGGCTGTGGACATCAGACACAACGCTGTATTTACGACCCAGGGGCTTACTTGTCTCCTTTGCTCCATTTCTCTCCACTTGGTGGCCTGTAAGCTCTCAGTCTCTGCATCTCCTCCTTCCAGTGAGGAGGAGTTTCACTGCTGTCATCATCTTCCGACTCAGAATGGGATCTTGACCTTGGAGGTGTGTGATAGCGCTTCAACACAGAGAGGGCAGTGACTGTCTAAGAGAGCCTCTTGTAGGACAGAGTCAGGCAAAAGTTTAATCTGGGCACCAACTTAAGTATTAACTGGATACTATGGAGTTACTTCAAATATAAGACACTGAGAGGCGAGAAAGACAAGACATTTACCTGGAATCCTTTAATGGCTCCCGTTGCAGTCCTAACACATTCTGGCCTCCAGTACTCCATAGACTAAGATTTCTCAATATACCTTTTCATGTATTACATCACTGAATAATTAAATCTACCCACAGCTGTAAATGTATGCGATGGGAGTGAGTACCTTCCCAAACTATGGGAAATAAAAAACAATTCCTTAAATAAGTAAAATAGTCTTTTTCTTTTCTTTTTCTTTAGACAGGGTTTCTCTGTGCAGCCCTGGCTGTCCTGGAGCTCACTCTGTAGACCAGGATGGCTTCAATCTCAGAGATCCACCTGCCTCCATCTCCCAAGTACTGGAATTAAAAGTATGTGCCACCCCCTGTCTCAAGAGAGAAAAAAAAAAAAAGTGTGCCACCACGGCCTGACACGAGAAATAATCTATCTAAAACTAAACCTCAGATCTTTAAATTTTAAAAAGTTACTATTTAGGTAAGCAATTTGAAAGAAAAAAGTTCTAACATACGTACAATTGTGCCTCTTCCTCTAATTTTCCTTCCAGACTTTGATACAGATGGTTTCTGATCACTTACAACAGGTGCAACATCTGGGATGTTCCTGAAAAAGTGGTGATGACAATTAAAGATGGGCAGACGCCAGAATGTCTTCCCATAAAGTTTTATGAGAGCAGTCACATCCATCCAGCTATTTCTGAGCTCCCTCACGCAGCTAGGAGGTGCAGCACACATCACCAGGTACAGTCAGCATTTCAAGTGCTACATACATGACCCTGCAAACATGAGGTGAGTGAACTCTCACTGCAGACTGTCAGATCAACAGCTCTAATAACTGATCTAACAGAGAACACTGACTTGAGCTCTTGATGAGAGTTACCCTGCCCTAGAAGAATTCCATTAGTAAATATGCACTTGAAAAACAAGCATTTCATCTTCTAATAAATGCTTTTTTTTTTTAAGTAAAAGATTTTTGAAGGAAGCCAGCCATGCCAGCACATGCCTGTAATCTCAGCATGTGGGGAGTTCGATGGCAGCCTAGGCCACCCAGCAGGACCCTGCGTCACAAGTAAACAAGCACACAGGAGGCTGTGCAGGGCAGCGGTGCAGCTGTGCTTCGCTGCTCGGCTTTCTCAGCAGCTGCTCACAGGGACACACCACTTGCACCAGGCACTGCAGCATTGTTGTTCAGGCATCACAGTTTTCCCTCCTTCTCCCTCCCCACCTCCCTCTTTTGAGATTACACCTTGTGATGTTGTTCAGGATGGACACCACTCCCGAGGTCAAATGATACTCCCCAGCTGTCCCTGCCCTCTAGGGGCTACAACACTAGGAAATCAGGCCCCGCACCTAGGCTGGGCAGCACAATAGAGCTAACCCTGATGGCAGAGGTGTGGGTGAGCCAACGTGGAGACTGTAAGTGGGGCGAGGTGCCCCCACCACTTACTGCCTGCAACACACGAGCAGCATGCCTCTCCCCCTTGCCAGCTGCAGCACCAGGAAAGCAGGCCCTGCTCCTCCCCTGGGCAGCACAGCAGAGCTGGCCCTGTGGTGTCGGTGGGAGAGAGTCAACCCTAAGGGCGTGAAAGCAGAACTGGCCCCGCCCCTAGCTCATTGCTGCAAGAGGTCAATCAGCTGGGGCAACGCTGCAAAGCTCACCCTGGTGGTGAGGAGAGGGGAGAACTGACTGGCTGGCTAACCAACCCTACAGCTGCCCAGGCCCAGAACCAAGGTTCTGATTTGGCCTGCCCCATCTATCATCTGCTGGAGCACATGAAGGGGCCTGACCTGCAGACCCAAAGCTGCAGGATCTCCACAACCCAGGCAACAGCAGGATAACCAAGAGGAGTCTCAGTGAGGGCCAAACATCAATGGTGAAGCAGAAGCCAGAGGCCTAGAAGTGGACCAATGACCCTTTGCAATAAACACTTATAAGATACATGAACAAAGGGGTTTATTACATGACACACTGTGCCACAACGCAGCTTCCATGATGAGATTATTAATGTTTTCCTTTTCTTTCTTACATTGTGTTTTATTTGGGGGAGGGGAGGCTTGCAGAGGCAGAGGGCAGATGCAAAGGGACAGACAGGGAAATGAATGGTATCCAGATGGGTGATATGAAAGACACATTGAATAAATAAAAACAAAATCTTTTCACACATTAAAAAAAACC